ACTGCACTGTAGGCAGGGAGTGATAGTGGTTCTGTTACAAGATATTCAACACGTATGGGCAACCATAGGTAGACTTTAAATCTAGTTGCTCTCTGTGTGGGTTTCAGGGGTCCCATTTTGTGGCACTGGCTCCACAACAAGCATGTCGTAAGAGTCAACTAATTAGGGGCTTTCTTTGATGTTCAACTGCATCTGCCCGAGAAGCAAGAAACCAACAGTCTGCATAGAAATAAGTCTGATCGGTAAAATGGATTTGCACACAAGACTTAACGTTTAGGAACAAGACTCAAGTCCAGATGTGAATGAACAACCAGAACTTTCCACCTGAGTGAAAACTGGTGAACGTGAAGAAGAAGAATCAGGTCGCAACCGGTACTATTAGCATGTCGACTCTTCCTTGGCTGCTGAAGAAGGGGAAGGAGCACTTGTAGGAATGTCCTGAGTGCAGTCAGGTCAGTTATAGAATTGATTGATTCATTCACTATAGAAGTAGCACAGCATCCACAAACTGTTCAGACAACAGACAAGCTTTTCTTCCACCTGATCAATCTCCATCTGTATGTAATGTGGGAGAGGACGTTTTTGTGTGTGGAAGAAATGAGTGTAGTCTCCGATGTAACTGAGATCTTTGTGTGGGTGCGGGGAAAAGGTGGGCTAGGGTGGGTGGTTGGAGAGAAAACAGACCCACTGCCTTCTAACAAGCATGTAGTAAAAGACAGCTAATTGGGGATCCGAGGGAATTAATTTGAGTTAAAAGGCATCGCAGCCTAGCTGTAAGCCACAACACAACATACCAACCATCAATTGAATACTGAATGCAGAAGAAAAAAATTAGAAATTTTTGAGGAACACTAAAAAAATTAAAAAAAAGCAGAAACAATATGTAAAAACATAGCAACTGATGTTTATTAAATCTGACTGCACACTATTATGTCAACTATTGTCTGTATACATTGGGTATAAAATTATGCTGTCGAGTAATAAACTAGATACATTTCTCACTGAATTATATACACCTTATTTCGCCTTAAGACCTATGTAACTTACGACCATCCAAACTTAACACATAATGTTTATTAAAAAATAGTAAATAAAGAAAGACTACATTGGTAGGGTCAAAAAGTTCCAGGGACTGATGCCTGAAATGCACCAGGGTCTAAATATAAAACACAGATTTAATTTTTGCGTTTTGTGTATAATTTATATAATCCATCTGAATAAAAAGTGTTGAAAAATATAAATTTGACTTATGACCTGTTAGAATTCTAATTCAATAGTAAGCAAGAACTCATGTCAAGAAAAACAGTACCATCCAAACTTAACACATAATGTTTATTAAAAAATAGTAAATAAAGAAAGACTACATTGGTAGGGTCAAAAAGTTCCAGGGACTGATGCCTGAAATGCACCAGGGTCTAAATATAAAACACAGATTTAATTTTTGCGTTTTGTGTATAATTTATATAATCCATCTGAATAAAAAGTGTTGAAAAATATAAATTTGACTTATGACCTGTTAGAATTCTAATTCAATAGTAAGCAAGAACTCATGTCAAGAAAAACAGTACCTGAGGAGATCTTGAACTAATTCTAGGAAAAACAGTAGTCCACTGATTATATCATCATCATGTAGCAGATCCTTTGCAGAAAATCGCTCTCATCACAGTCTGCCTGAAAGAAACTCGGTCTCTCACCAGTTCTCCCGCCTCATGTACTTTCATACTCAAGGAGTCACTTATATCCTGTGCCCATCTTCATGTCGGTCAGCCCCTGGTCCTCCTTCCTAGTACCATGCCTTCTGCTATAATTTTCTCCAATCTGTTGTGGCGTTTGATATGACCAAAATATTTCCATGATGAGTTTTTGGGATAGTTCTGATTATATAGTTGGTATATATCACGAAAATCACCCCATCATGTCGGGCACGAAATTTCCCACAGGCTGTCCTATGTTCTAGGGGTGTCATGTTTTGTTGTTTTAATTGCTATAAACCCTTGTGGGTTCCGGGGCCCTATTATAGGGAAAACAAGAATAGACCCACTGCCTACCCGAAAGCATGTCGTAAGAGTCAACTGATTAGGAGCTTCCTTTGAAGTCGGAGTGCATCTGCCTGAGAGGCAACAACCAAAAGTATGCACATAAATGTGTCAGATCTGTCAAACGAATGCACATGCAACACTCAGGTTCTGAAACAGGACTGCAGTCCAGAAGTGGACAAACAACCAGAACTTTCCACCAGAGTTCACCGCTGGTGAAATCAAAGAAGAAGGAGAATGCTATAAACATTATATTTTACACGTTTTGAGTGGCCTGGACTGTGTCTGTTACTTGCGCTGTGCGTTTGCTCTTGATTACTATCACTGTGGCCTTAGTGACTTGAGCCATGGCCAGCCCCAAAATGTCACTAATTATCATACCAGTGACGGTTGCACAAGAGACCTAGTCGACAGAGAAAAGGAAACTTTTGAGTCGGGCCTCAAACAACAGGAGCCGCTTTTCCACACTGTGTGTAGATAGGGAATGTGAAGAAACGCACATGCTAAGCGAGTGACCACTGCACAGGAGACATACTTAGCAGACAAAAGAAAACTAAATGAACACTAGCTCGCGCACACACAAAAAAAAAAAGGAAAACAAAGTTTCTCAATGTTGCCTGCCATGAAAGAGAGCTCCACAATTTTGTGTCAGGCCTTGAATGAACGGGAGCTGGTTTTCTGCACAAAGTGTATAGATGGCAAAGGCAAAAGAACGCATATCCTACTATCCCTACAACACAGGACAGCCCGTGGGAACGGCCACGGCATGAATGGGAGCCGGGATTAAATCTAGCACCCGACGTGATGGGGTGATTTTCATGATAAGTACCACATAAAATCAGCTATTACACATTTGCTGTTCATTTACTGTTTATAAATATCACAAATAATCAGGAAACCAACTTAAATTTCCAAGCTGTTGTATTAATGATTTCTGTAGCAATCTGCTACATATGTTGATATTGGCATAATTATTAATTATTTCATGTTGTTACTGTTGAAACCGAACATTCGGCAAATGAAGTACAAAAATACATAACTGGCTATTAAGTGTGACATGAACAATGAATCAAAAGGTGTGTTTTAATATCAGCTAACAGCAGTAAAGAAACAAGTTTTACCAAAGGCCCAACAAACACACTGAAACTTGTGTGCTCACTTTAAAAAAAAAACACCTACCACTGCTATGAACTATTACTGTTCCTTTATCACAGGCACTCTTTCAACAGGATTGGATAAAGCCATATTTCTTCTTCTGCGTTCATCTGAAGATATAATCGCGTTGTATCCGTTTACAGCATGGCTGCGATATTTGCACCTTTCGGCCAACACATCCGACTTATACAGGCATTTGTTGACCGGGTTAGCCTTCCCGGGGATAAAGCCATATTTGAGTCTGCAGCTTTTAAGTAGCTGATATAATACTGACATCAATCAATTAATCAGCACCTCCGTTACAGAACGGAGATCTTCGCAAAGGTTGGCCTCTATGGAATCAAATGGACAGTACAACAGAACAGGCAGAGAACTCAATCATTGAAAGACTAATTCAATAGGGAGTGAGCTGAGCTTCTGGAAGATATTTAACACTGAGAGGGAAACATAGGATGAGTTTTAACCAGGTTGCAACTGGTACTATAAGCATGTCTATTCTTTGCTGGCTACTGAAGGTAGGGACTGAGCACGAGAATTCAGATGTGATGAAATCATGCCCATAGGTGATATCTGAGATGGGTGATATCTGCAGCAATGAGCCTCAAGGACTCGGAATGCCGAAGAAGAAGAGGAGAAAATGTGATGAAATCATGAAACTGATGGATAATATTGTTATATTAACAGGGCTCGGGGCGGAAACATGGAGAACAACCAAGGCAATTACTAATAAATTACAGACATTCATCAGATGTGATGAAATCATGCCCATAGGTGATATCTGAGATGGGTGATATCTGCAGCAATGAGCCTCAAGGACTCGGAATGCCGAAGAAGAAGAGGAGAAAATGTGATGAAATCATGAAACTGATGGATAATATTGTTATATTAACAGGGCTCGGGGCGGAAACATGGAGAACAACCAAGGCAATTACTAATAAATTACAGACATTCATCAACTGGTGCCTGCGCAGAATAAAGGGAATAAAATGGTTTGATAGAATAACTAATGAAGAACTTTGGGAGAGAACTAAACAGGCTCCAGTGGACCAAGAGTTGAGGAAAAGACGCTGGCGTTGGATAGGGCACACACTGAGAAAACAGGAGGACATCATAACTGGAATGTTTTGCACTGGAACCCACAGGGGCATAGGAATAAAGGAAGGCCAAAAAATACACGGAGAAGAGAGCTGGAGAATGAAGTTAGAAAGATTGGGACGACATGGGGAGAGCTCCATGCAATGGCGAAGGATAGAACGACTTGGCGTGAGTTGGTTGAGGGCCTATGCTCCATTGGGGGATAGAAAGGCAGAAGAAGAACAGGGCTCAGAATGCTGAAGAAAAAGAAGAGAAGAAGTGATGAAATCATGAAACTTCTTCTTTCTTCTTTGTGTTCACCAGCTGTACACTCTGGCGTAAAGTTCTGGTTGTTCGTCCACTTCTGGACTGCAGTCATGCTCCAGAACCTGAGTGTTGCATGTGCATCAGTTTTACAGATCTGATTCAATTGAATGCAGACTGCTGGTTCCTTGCCTCTCAGGCAGATGCACTCCGACTTCAAAGAAAGCTCCCCAGTTAGTCGACTCTTACGACATGCTTTTGGGGAGGCAGTGGGTCTATTCTTGTTTTCCCCACAATAGGGCCCCGGAACCCACACGGGGGAATCAATGAAACTGATAGATAATATTTACTGGTATGATAATTCCTTAAATTATTCCAATATGAGTACACAGTAAACTTGGTGAATACGCGAGTTCTGTATTTTAAAAAAGAATACTCACACAAATTACACATAACAAATAATTACAGATTTTATAAATGAGAATGGGCACTGAGTATCCACGACTTAATTAACTGATGAGCTATTGCTTGTCTTGGAGGTACAAACAGACCATCTGGATGCTGCTGGGCCAACATCTGACTAACTTCAGGACGAGAAAACCATCTTGCATCCTCCAGTTCATTATTGTCCACCTATGATTTCAATGTACACAAATAAGCAGGCAATTAAGGACTGTATCTGGACAGACAATGAATGAGAAACAGGTTTACATACACATCTTTTCCTTCAGCATTTTGACCCAACTGAGGTTCACTGCTGCATTTCCTGTTGATGACACCAATGTCTGTAAGTCTGTTCGTACATTATATCTCCAATGTCTTCTTTGTCTGCCTTGTGGTCTACTCCTATTCAATCTTTTTCTTTGACTCTGAAGGAAACATTGATCCTACCTATGTCGGCCAGGCTACAGGTTGGACACCTGCTTCTGTGATGACCATGGAAAGGTGTAGATGGGTTTTGACCAGCAGGAGCTCAGGCCCTGCTGGCTGTGGTTCAGCACCTCTACATCCCAATGAAATACTTCAAATGTTTGGAGGAAACATATCAACCTAGGCCTCTACTCAGTCAGTCAATATGTGCTCTCCTGAATCATCTGGTTATCCTGGGCCCCATTATGGACAAAAAAAGAATAGACCCACTGCTTCCCCAACAAGCACGTTGTAGGAGTCGGTTAACTGAGGGCTTCCTTCCAAGTTGGAGTGCATCTGCCTGAGAAGCAAAGAACCAACAACCTGCATTAAAAAAAGTCAGATCTGTAAAACAGATGTGCATGCAACACTCAGGTTCTGGAAAAATACTAAAGTCCAGAAGTGGACAAACAATTAGAACTTTTTGCCGGAGTTTACAGCTTGTGAATGCAAAGAAGAAGTATCTGGTTAAATCCTTATATGTAATTGTGATTTCCATGTTAATCTTGCAAATCCACCTGGTTTTTTGGCTTGGAGAAGCAAAAAGAGGGCTTTGCACAAAAGAAGAGTCTTTACAGCAACTTCCCTCTAAGGATGCACATGCAAAACTTGAGTCCTGAAATAATACTAAAGCCAAGAAGTGGATGAACAACCAGAACTTTCCACCAGAGTTTTTAGCAGGTGAATGCAAAGAAGGATCATTTCACTGCCAACACACTAGAATAAAAAAATGCCCAGAGGAACATTCGTAAATAAAACCCACAACAACACATGTCAAGTATACCTGTATGTTATCAGTGCGAGCATATGCTATGCAGCCCAGCATCAAAGAGGCTGGGAAAGGCCAAGGCTGACTAGAATGATATTCAACCTTGCCTACTTTGATACCACTTTCCTCTTCTACTTCTCTTCGGCAAGTGTCTTCTATACATTCACCTGTAAATAAAAATGACTTCTAATGTATTACAAACATGGTAATAAATATTTTCTTGCAAACAATACATTGCATAGTTTACTGCCTTATATATTTAGCAGTGTTTCATCAGCTGCATTACTACAAATGCATTATCACAGGTGCATTACTACAGACAACACAATAATGTAAATGTGAGCGCTATGTGACATCTAACGGGACATAAAGGATGAAAATGGTGGTAATCAAGTGGCTGATCTTGAATTTCTGGTGGAGTTATGTACAGTCTAACCTGACAATGTGATTTATGAAAAAGATTCATTTTTATGCTTCATTATATGCTGATTTAACTCTCCAGTAATCCATCTGCAGAGATACAGTGAAAAACGCCAGTCAATAAACTGTGAAATATACTGTTTGTGATTAAGATCATGTATCTTCCCTGTAGCAACATAAGGAAGTGAGTCATGGATCTCCCAGTCCTTAAGGAAGGGGGGCTTAGTTTTTTTAAAGCTGAAATGCCATAGAAAGATTCTCAGAATATCTCGGACAAATAAGGAAAAAAAGTACTGACATTCTAAAAGATCTGAACATACAAGAAGACTGGCTAATAAACAGCATCTCACTCTGAAGCTGAAATGTCTTTGCCATATCAGGCATCACAGTGAATTGGAAAAAAAAAAATAACAGAAATACCAGGAAGGAGAGGCAGGGGCAGATAACCATGAAGATGGGCACAGGATATAAGTTACTTCTGGATATGAAAGTGCATGAGGTGGGACAGCTGGCGAAAGACCAAGTTCCTTTTAGGTGGACTGTGATGACGGCGACGTTCTGCAAAGGACCTGCTAAAGGATGATGATTGTGTCCGCATTATTTAAATTTACAAGGGGAAAACACTGTAATGAATTTTTTGACTACACTTAGCCTATGTTTTCTGGATTTAGAAAAAGCATTCAGTAGGGTTCCCTAGAGCAAACTCTGGGACTGCTTGGCAGGGAAAAACATTCAAGCACCCCTGATCAGCACAATACAGAGTTAAAACAAAAATCCGCTGAAATTATGCAAGAGCAGGAATCCAACAATCAGAAGAATTTAAACAACTAGTGGTGTTAGGCAGGGAGATAGCTTCTCACCTTACCTCTTCATCCTTCTGATGGATGATGTCATCAAGACCTGTAAGCAGAAGACAAAGAATTACTTTGTAAGGTCCTGGAAGATGAGACCAATCTGCATACCAGAACTGGCATTTGCAGATGATGTGACAGCTAAATTAGAGGCACATTTTCAATCCAACTAGTCTGGAAGGAAAAGCCTGAGAAGAGAGGGATGACCCTGAGAAGAGAGGGATGACCCTGAGAAGAGAGGGATGACTATCAGTGTCTCCAAAATTAAAACCAGAGAGATCTCAAGAGAGGAGAAGAATCAGATCATGATGGGACAAGATGTACTGGAGCAGGTCAATCAGTTCAAATACCCTGAAGTCGCAACAGACCAGAATGGAGGCCTCTAGTCAGGTTGGCTGCTCAAACAGCAGAAGCTGGGAGACCTTTTCAAGCCATAAACTGGGGGTTTTCTCAGCAAAAGAAAAATTAGCAAAGGGGAAAAAAATGGTTGTACACCTCTATATCTATGTGCCAGTCTTAACACATGGATGCGAGTCATGGGCAATGAAAACAGCAAAAAAAGCCAGCTTCAGGCCTCAGAAATGAGGTATCTGAGAAAGGTGGTACAAGTGACAAGAAGGGTCAAAGTTCATAAGCAGACAATTTGCCATGACCTTGAAACCTTAGCCTTAGAAACTCAAGTGGATCAGTCACAGTTACAACTGTTTGGACATGTATGCAGAATGGGAGAGAATCAACCACCATGGCAAGCATGGCAGGCAAGAACCAGAGAACTAGACCACTAGAAAGACCTAGGGTCCCTAGGAAGACAAAATCCGGCAGCTCCCAACTGATAGAGGGCTCGAATGGAACAAAGCCACACACACAAAAAAACGGCTGATAGAGAAGTCTGGCGATCTCTCTGTCAAACTTCTACACCCCAAGGTAGAAGAGGAGCAACTAAGTAAGTAAGTATGGATTTCTTGACATTTGTTTATCACATGTTTATCAGTCACCTCTTAATCTAAATGAAGTATTCATCCTTCAAACTGACTGTTCATCACAGTATATGCAGATGATATATATATATATACACACATACATACACTCCGTTCAGAAAAATGAATCCTTTAGATGGTTATAATCCCTAGTTCACGTAAACACAGACTAGAGAAGCTACTGGTTAAATGGTTACGAAATCTAAACTCTCATGCGTGATACCCAGAAGGTTCGAATCCTCAGTAAGGTCATGAATTCTTTACCGCCATGGCTAGAAAATCAAACCTGAACATGTTGTGACAGCACTAGTCATGCACCCTAAACTCCCAGGCTCAAAGTCACCAACTGCCTATACTGTAAAACATGGTAAACATAGGCAGTAATTTTCAGTTTATAATTGGCAGTCACTGTGTTCTACTAATTCTTCTTCTTCGCGTTCACCAGCTGTAAACTCCGGTGGAAAGTTCTGGTTGTTCCTCCTCTTCTGGACTGCAGTCCTGTTCCAGAACCTGAGTGTTGCGCGTGCATCCATTTCACAGATCTGACTCATTTGTATGCAGACTACTGGTTCCTTGCCTCTCAGGCAGATGCACTAGGACTTTGAAGGAAGCTCCCAATTAGTCAACTCTTACGACATGCTTTTGGGTAGGCAGTGGGTCTATCTATGTTTCCCTATAATAAGGCCCTGGAATCCACACGGGGATGTGTTCTGCTGTAAACTGTTGCCATTTAGTTACATGAAATATCCTCTATAAGCAGTAACAATATAATCAGCAGTAATGCTTTCTGGTGAACACACATACCTGGCTCCATGAAGCCTGCAAGGCACGAATACATCTTTGGAGGGAATCTTTTCTGACGACCAAGCAAACAATGCTGTTTGTCGGTTGACACCACTAACATGATCAGAGATGGGTCCACACGTGGGTAACATGTGTTGTGAACACCTTCAGTGAAAACAACTATGTGTATTAATACTCAAAAATCACATACACAAGATAATACTTATTCTTACTGTTAGCATTCACTGGCACTTAGCTCCGGCGAAAAGGCCTAGTTGTCCACCACCTCTGGACTTTGATCTTGTTCCCGGAATTGAGTGTGGCATGCACATCCATTTTCCAGATCTGACTTATTGTGTGCAGACTGTTAGCTCCTCGCCTCTCAGACGTTCCAACACTGAAGAAAATATCAGTCCAAACTATGTTGGCCACAATCCTGTAGGGAACCTGTTTCTAGGATGACTGTGAAATGGTGTAGACAGGTCTTAACCAGTAGGTGGCCCTAATTATTGTGCACCGTCACATGTGGTTCAGCACATCTGCATCCCCTACAGATCATTAAAAGGTTAGTTGCGTATCCTTTACAGGACGTTGCAGAACCAACCCCAACAGCTCCTGGCTGTTGTGTGGTTTTTCTAGGCAAATTTACGCCCAGTAGTTTGCCACTGCTTTCTGGACAGTCAGCTTTCTTAATACCACTGTAGAAACCAACGCAAGGCCCATAGCCGGCAGCTGGGATCGAAACCAGCATTCCAGCATTACGAAGCGTTCGCATCGACTTAGCCACAGAGCCGACCTACAGATCGTATGGCAATGAAAAATACTACAGAGCAATAAAACAAATACCTTAAAGGAAAAATTGAGAAAAAATTATCAACGTGAGTGATGTGGACAGTAACCTGTCAAATTCTCAACTTCCTTGAAAATGTAAGCTACCCAGATTAGACGGACCAGTGTGCCCTGTCAATTATAAATTCACCTCGATGGGAACATAAACACATGACCAGCAGGCAGAGTTACTAGCCTATGTGCTATGACATCTCCATTTGAATGCAAAACACAGAAGAAAACGGGAAAACAAGCAAACACTAATAGTTAGTTATAAAAACATCATTTTTTGCTCCAGTGACCTTTATCCTTATTCCCAAATAGTGTATTCAAGAATACAAATGATACAACAGACAAATAAAATAATCATTTACTATAAACCTCCCTACTGCTTGCTAGCTATAGCTATCTCTCTATATCTATGATGACCTCATTCTAGAAATGTAATCTCTATTGCCCAAGGTATAAGCCCTGCATTATTTCTATTAAAATGAAACACACAGTAAGATATCCTACCTTTATGACTTCTACAGTCAGTATCCGTACATATCTGTTTATATCCACCTTCCACAACCTTATTTTTACTTCCACATGTTGGACAAAACCTGGCAACAATACAATAAACTTCATTAACATAAACTCACTTAAGAAGAATATTTGGTTAACATGAACACAATTGTGGGTCAAGCAGGGGTGTATTATTATTCTTCTTATTATTATTATTCTCTGGTTAGCACACATTTTGTTTTATATATATATATATGTGTATGTATGTGTGTACACTAATAAGTTTATCAAGAAAACTAAAATTTGATCAGTTAAAAGTTCATTAGTAAAATGAGTTTATTCAAGTTCATGTTTCTTCTTCTTCTTTTCTTTCAGCAGCTGCAAACTCTGGCAGAAAGTCCTAGTTGTTCGTTCACCCACCCCCCCCCCCCCCCCCCCAAATATATTACAACTGAAACCTCATTTTGTTCCCCATGTCGGTTCCGGGGCCCCACTATGGTGGTGGTGGGGAAAGGTGGGGGGGGGGGGGGGGGGGTTGAATCCACTGCTCCCCCTAACTCCTACCACAACAAACATGTCATAAAGGTAACATATTCAGTCTGTTACCTCTGAAGTTTTATCTGTATGACAGGTGACGAACGAATACTCTAACCAAAAAAAAAGCCAGATATGTAAAATAGACATGCATGTACAACTCAAGTTCTAGAAAAATAACAAAAAAGCCAGAATTGCACGAAAAACAGCTTTCTGCTTGAGCTTGAAGCCGATAAACTTTAAGAAGACTCCAATTAGGTTGAACAAGACTCCATTTTAAAGATATATTTTTTCCTTAGTGTAAAAGAGACATTACTTGTAACGATCCAGCCAACATAGAATAGAATGAGCTTCTGCAAATATTCCTGCATGTGTGGAATCCATTCTCATAGTAATAGGCATTGGTGCTACAAAATCACCCTTAGGATACAGCTGTAGAAATAAGAATGGAAAAATCTAACAGTTAAGTTCTTCCATATTTAACCTAAAATGTGCAACAGTAATATCAGCTTGTAAAATTATATATCAATTAAAATCATTCTGCTTAGTCTTATAAACCCATAAATTCAATATCTTTAATCTGTCTCTCTCTCTCTAGTGACCTCCCTCTAGTTCTAATTGTTTTCATCTTTCTTTCTTCAACATGAACTACTTCATTCCTTACAATGTCTCCATCCGTATTTCTCCACAGTGAACTTTTTTTTCCTTCTCTATTTTCCCCTAGTAACTTTTCCTGTCTTTAATAAAAGGTCCATTAGATCAGTAAACAGACTCTGCTGCCACATTAACAAGAAATTCAAGATTGGGGACTGAGAACTTTGTCAATGTGGACAAGCACCACAGAATACTGAATATGTACTACAGATATTCTCTTTACATGCAGTAGTAAGATCCCAGGTTTAGCTGATTTGCATTCCAATGGAAGCCAAACTGTGGAGAAGGAAAAATGAAGAAGAATACCAAAGTGACCTTCTATTTTTCTTGGCCCTAATATTAGATTGGCTAAGGTCTATTTACCTACCATAACCTAATTGAGGATGTCTGCTGATTAATAACTATTGGTTGTTTTTTTTTACTGTTGAATTCTTCCGTTTAGTTTCTGAGGTTACACCACTGCTGGTTAGGGCTGAGGTTACACCACTGCTGGTTAGGGCTGAGGTTACACCACTGCTGGTTAGGGCTGAGGTTACATCACTGCTGGCTAGGGCTGAGGTTACACCACTGCTGGCTAGGGTTGAGGTTACACCACTGCTGGTTAGGGCTGAGGTTACACCACTGCTGGTTAGGGCTGAGGTTACACCACTGCTGGCTAGGGCTGAGGTTACATCACTGCTGGTTAGGGTTGAGGTTACACCACTTCTGGCTAGGGTTGAGGTTACACCACTTCTGGCTAGGGTTGAGGTTACACCACTGCTGGCTAGGGTTGAGGTTACACCACTGCTGGCTAGGGCTGAGGTTACACCACTGCTGGTTAGGGCTGAGGTTACACCACTGCTGGCTAGGGTTGAGGTTACACCACTGCTGGCTAGGGTTGAGGTTACACCACTGCTGGCTAGGGCTGAGGTTACACCACTGCTGGCTAGGGCTGAGGTTACACCACTGCTGGCTAGGGTTGAGGTTACACCACTGTTGGCTAGGGCTGAGGTTACATCACTGCTGGCTAGGGCTGAAGTTACACCACTGCTGGCTAGGGTTGAGGTTACACCACTGCTGGTTAGGCTGAGGTTACACCACTGTTGGCTAGGGCTGAGGTTACACCACTGTTGGCTAGGGCTGAGGTTACATCACTGTTGGCTAGGGCTGAGGTTACACCACTGCTGGCTAGGGTTGAGGTTACACCACTGTTGGCTAGGGCTGAGGTTACATCACTGCTGGTTAGGCTGAGGTTACACCACTGTTGGCTAGGGTTGAGGTTACATCACTGCTGGTTAGGCTGAGGTTACACCACTGTTGGCTAGGGCTGAGGTTACATCACTGCTGGTTAGGCTGAGGTTACACCACTGTTGGCTAGGGCTGAGGTTACATCACTGCTGGTTAGGCTGAGGTTACACCACTGTTGGCTAGGGCTGAGGTTACATCACTGCTGGCTAGGGCTGAAGTTACACCACTGCTGGCTAGGGTTGAGGTTACACCACTGCTGGTTAGGCTGAGGTTACACCACTGTTGGCTAGGGCTGAGGTTACACCACTGTTGGCTAGGGCTGAGGTTACATCACTGCTGGCTAGGGTTGAGGTTACATCACTGCTGGTTAGGGCTGAGGTTACACCACTGCTGGTTAGGCTGAGGTTACACCACTGTTGGCTAGGGCTGAGGTTACACCACTGTTGGCTAGGGCTGAGGTTACATCACTGCTGGCTAGGGCTGAGGTTACACCACTGCTGGTTAGGGTTGAGGTTACATCACTGCTGGTTAGGCTGAGGTTACATCACTGCTGGCTAGGGTTGAGGTTACATCATTGCTGGTTAGGGTTGAGGTTACATCACTGCTGGTTAGGCTGAGGTTACATCACTGTTGGCTAGGGCTGAGGTTACACCACTGCTGGCTAGGGTTGAGGTTACACCACTGTTGGCTAGGGCTGAGGTTACACCACTGCTGGTTAGGGTTGAGGTTACATCACTGCTGGCTAGGGTTGAGGTTACATCACTGCTGGTTAGGCTGAGGTTACATCACTGTTGGCTAGGGCTGAGGTTACACCACTGCTGGTTAGGGTTGAGGTTACACCATTGCTGGCTAGGGCTGAGGTGATGTTAAGTATCCACTGTCTTCTTCTTCTCTTCCTCTAGTTACTCATCAAGATGTTGGGAGTGGCAGGAGGCGGGAGCAGATATGTAGGAATCTTCTGTTCATTCTTTCTAAAGTGTGGTATAAGCTGATATTTCATTTCTCTGAAGCTGTTGTTAATGACATTGTTCCCTATTTTGCATGGTCTTACCCTTCCTGTGTGTTTGTTGTTATTTCCGTGTGGCAGGTGGTACCAGGACATTCTCATCAGATGGTCAAGATATCAGGACATTCTCATCAGATGGCCAAAATTTCATGTGTGTTGCTCTTTAAAGAACTGTTTGACTGGTTTTAAGTCTTCCTATTATTTCCTTATTTTTAATTGTAACTCTTCCAGTTATTTTGGCAGCTCCCCCACTGCTGTAACTGAGCATTTGCACACACTTGTGCAGCAAGTCTGGACTCCCAAACATCAATTTAATATTCATGTCACGGCACATGGACATGCAAGGAAATTAGCAAGTTGACAGGCTTGCAGGTAAAGTTACTATGGAGGGAGGATGTGAAATGAACCACATTGATATATTGAATGCTCTATGAGAAGTAAGTTTGTGAGAACCAAGTGATAAATGTGAATCTGCAACCATGACCAGACTACAAAAACAGCATGTTAAATGTGGTGTAGCCAGACAAGAGTACTATGCAGGAGGCCAGAGAAGAATAAGAAACCAACAAAGAACTGGTGTCGTCAGCCGCTACACGCCGCATGATTCACCTAGGAGAGGATCCAAGCATTTATGGACAGAATGGTTCAATGTGATAGGAGGATAATATGTAGGCTAACTAACTAACTAAACTTGTACATCAGGTTTATGATTCACCCATCTCTGATTCTAACTTTAGGTAAACAAAAGGACCCCTTTCCACGGCTTCAGGTTCACTGGGCATATAGGGTCACACCTATATTTAATAGACCAATCGGCACTTGAAGGATGATGTGGTCAGCATCATGCCGGCCACCTTTACCTCCCAGACTTTACCTGGTATCCATTTAAGGCTGGGGCGACATGGGGGATAAGGTCATTTTTGAAAAAAAAAATTATGTCTCCGTCAGGACCTGAACCCATGACCTTCTGATCCGCATGCAAGCTTTTAGCTGCTATACCATGGCGGCTCCCACTATAAGGTTAAAAGTTAATTACATTTCGTTTACAGTACAGTGCCAACCAACCCCAGTACTTGTTTGTGGTATTAATAAATAAAGACTTTCTTCAGCAATGCAGAGGCTAAACAGCATGAAGAATCTATGGCACAGCAAGTGCAAGCAAGTTATAGTAAACATTTTGAGATCATGCATGTTTTCTGTGGCAACTTATGAAGTTATGGCCTCTCGCTCAGTCTTTGAAGAAGAAAATTTGAGCTTGTGAACTAAAATGCTACAGAAGTGTTTTTATACCGTTGACCAACATGAAAAAAAAAACGTCAACATCCTGCATGACCCAAACATCAAGGAGAACTGGCTCACAAACAGCATCCTGCATGACCCAAACATCAAGGAGAACTGGCTCACAAACAACATCCTGCATGACCCAAACATCAAGGAGAACTGGCTCACAAACAGCATCCTGCATGACCCAAACATCAAGGAGAACTGGCTCACAAACAGCATCCTGCATGACCCAAACATCAAGGAGAACTGGCTCACAAACAGCATCCTGCATGACCCAAACATCAAGGAGAACTGGCTCACAAACAGCATCCTGCATGACCCAAACATCAAGGAGAAGTGGCTCACAAACAGCATCCTGCATGACCCAAACATCAAGGAGAACTGGCTCACAAACAACATCCTGCATGACCCAAACATCAAGGAGAACTGGCTCACAAACAGCATCCTGCATGACCCAAACATCAAGGAGAACTGGCTCACAAACAGCATCCTGCATGACCCAAACATCAAGGAGAACTGGCTCACAAACAGCATCCTGCATGACCCAAACATCAAGGAGAACTGGCTCACAAACAGCATCCTGCATGACCCAAACATCAAGGAGAAGTGGCTCACAAACAGCATCCTGCATGACCCAAACATCAAGGAGAACTGGCTCACAAACAACATCCTGCATGACCCAAACATCAAGGAGAACTGGCTCTCAAACAGCATCCTGCATGACCCAAACATCAAGGAGAACTGGCTCACAAACAGCATCCTGTTCCGAAACATCAAGGAGAACTGGCTCACAAACAGCATCCTGCATGACCCAAACATCAAGGAGAACTGGCTCACAAACAGCATCCTGCATGACCCAAACATCAAGGAGAACTGGCTCACAAACAGCATCCTGCATGACCCAAACATCAAGGAGAACTGGCTCACAAACAGCATCCTGTTCCGAAACATCAAGGAGAACTGGCTCACAAACAGCATCCTGCATGACCCAAACATCAAGGAGAACTGGCTCACAAACAGCATCCTGTTCCCAAAGATGAGGTATTGTGGACATGTCTATTACCATAAAGGTCTGGAGAGAATGATGATGGAGGGCGCAGTTTCTGGAACAAGAGGCAAAGGCTGACCTGGAAACAGAACACTAAGGATGCACAGGCTATGGAAGTACACAAGGCTGGAGAACTGGCAAGAGAAAGAAAGAGAAACTGTCAGACGTGTCATGAAGAGAGCAATGTTTTGTATTGTAAAGGACACGCTGGCTGACTGACTGATTACTAGGCATGTTAACAGTCAGCAGTTTGCCACTTTCACTCAATGGCTCAAACCACTGTTAAAATTAATGCTAGAATTATGAAACTGTTCATAATCCCTAAGCCACAGACAAAGGTAAAGGTACATAATAAATACTGTCATTAGGTTGAAGTGTTAGGCCTTCACTTATTCCAAGTTATCAAATTTGAGTGGCGAAAATAGGAGTGATTGTAGTCAAGCTAATACCAAAGATAATAATACCATTTCATTAAGCTTTTTAGTAACAGTTGACTGGATTATTTTTATAAAATTTAAGGTGGGTTCACTATTTCCTGTCCTCATCATTTTTCCTTTCTTGTTAACTCCCATAAAGTTCTGACAAGTGTCTGATACTGATTTTCAGACAGTGAGTTGACTGCTGAACTGCAGTAATCAGAAAAGTTAACCTTTTCTATGCTGCTCCTGCAATGTAAGCAGCAAACAGTGGATTACATACATGACATAGTGACATGATACTTACAGTTTTAGCTAAATCAGTTGCTTCATTTCCCAGGTCAAGGGCAAACCAAGCATTAGAATCAGGATCCCATGTTTCCAGACCAAGAAAAATCACTCTTGATTTCTCTATGGCAGATGCTGGTAGCTGATCACAAGAAAATAATGCAAATCTAAAGAATGGCAAAGAATAAAATTGATCACTTTAAAGTGCAGCTGTCTATTCTATCTGTGAAAATGTTTTAATGTGACATGTTGAACGCTTTATTACTTGATAAAATACAGCCATTCTGTGTGATAAATGTGGTAAATTTAACATATTTCACATACAAAAAAACTAATAAAATAAAATGAAATGGAAATTAGGAATCATCCAACAAAACAAAGACACACATAAAGTTATGATGCCTCCAAAAAAATTACAACAAACTTACTTTAGTTAACAAACAAACATGTACATTCAGCAGGGTGGCATTACAAGTTAACACAAACACACCATATAACTCCAAATTTCATTCACTGACAGCATGCTGATTTTTTTTTCTGACCATAAATGCCTTTCAAGTCAAGTTTCATTCAAAGACAAAATGAAAGATAAAGAAACCAAAATATTCAAACATTCAAGGAAGAGGGACTCCCTTCCAGAAGATCAGTCAGAAGTCACCTTTTCTGTGTGGGTTCCAGGACCCCACTGGGGGTTTCTGGGGGGGGGGGGGGGGGGGGGGATAGACCCATTACCCCTTAGCATGTTTTAAAAGAAAGATGACTAATTAAGGCTTTGCTGAAATCCAGTGTGTTAGGCCAGCCAAAGGGCACAGATATAGCTGACTAGCTGTAAACCACAACTGCTCATAACAATACAAGAAGACAATGGTGCTTATTATGTAACTATGTCAAGTATAACTATGGAGATAGCCATTGCTTCTAGAGCACTAGGATGGGCAGCACAGCAAACATAGCGACTATGGTGTTCGGCAATTTGCGGCCCTTTGGCAATTTCCGTTACCATGGAAACCGTTCGAAACTTGTCTGGGAAATGTCGGCTGGGGTTTCGGGATGGGTCCTAATCTCTCATGAAATTTTGCGATTGGTGTGGTTTTCACCAGCTATAAATGGCTGAAAACGGCGGGAGCGAACCCGCTTAACAGCGCATGTCTATGACAGCCGGACGTCCTCTGTTTTTCTGTTACATCAGTTTGATTGAAAATAGCGATAAGTATTCAAAGTTGGCTTTAGGCCTTAAACATTACCAGACGTGGTAATGCTAGTTATAATTGAATTCTCCGTCCAATTTTACATTTGTGTATAAAATTTCTTTCTTGTCAGTGGCTGTTTAGATTTACAGTGACATTTTTCAGACAATCGCTATTATGTGGCTGTGTCTGAGAAAAATTGTCTGCCATCTTGTCCAATGAAAACAAAGCCAAAACAAAAGTTGTGCAGTTTGGTTGCGCAGAGAAAACTTCTTGTTTCTCAGACACAGGTTTTAGCAGCTGTTTTTTACATCTCATCTCCACAAAAACCTACATATCTCAGCTCAGAAATGACAAACAAGCCTAAATGAGGTACCGTTGGAAAGAGATTGTTTACAGCTTTCCAACTGTGCTGGTTTTATTGGTTTTTAGGGCATTTTAAAAATTTGACTAAAGTATCTAGCAAACAATCACACATGCAGTAATTGTATAAATCTTTCTTAACATGCTTCAGAAGACAGCAACAGGGGGTATGTGCTCTGAAAGGGTAGAAAGCATTTGAAAATCACATTTAACCTTCCCCACCTGGATCTATATACCTGGTCATGCTGGTGTAAAGGGTAATGAGCGAACCGACCAATTGGCAAGTGATGCACCAACACACGTGGGAAGAAGCATGGACAGAGTAGATATCATTAACACTGTACGGGCTGGGCTAGTGGATATTACGAATCTCTGGCGCTAACATGACTGTGTGACACAGGAGTAAAGCATGATGAAGCAGGTCTATGCCACCTTTAAGCCTGAGAAAGGAGACATTATAACCAACCTCTCATGGCAACAATTAGTAGAAGTACCTTGGAGTGGCTGCTGCATCAGAGGACTGTGCATACATGAGACTGCCCGAAGTACTGTGACGTCGATTGCGATAACATAACACAACTTTCCTTTTAAGTGTGAACAATAAGCTGTTGAAATCTCTGAGTACTTGTAAAAGTTGTAGTAGCACTTTGTGTCATTTTGAGTTGTTGACTCATGTGCGGAATTTTCAGATGCATGCCGATTATGTCATATTTTGAAGAGTCTTCTTCTTCTTCTTTAATGGCTGTAGGCTCCGGCCGAAAGTCCTGGCTGTTCGTCCATTTGGACTTAGGCTTCATGCCAGGGCCTGAGTTTGGCGTGTCCATCCATTATTGCTTATTTGTGTGCAGTTGGTTGTTCCTTGCCGCTCCCCAATTAGTCGACTGCTACAACATGCTTGTTGGAGAGGCAGTGAGTCTATTAGTGTTTTTCCCGGATCCCACACGGGGAGTTTTGAGGAGGGAATGAGGCCTCTTGTGTCTCTAGACAACAGAAAACATACACCTAGCACCTCATCATCTCCCCCTGATTGGGCTCTGCGGCCAATTTTGTGCAGAAAAGGAATACACACACTAACCCCTCCCCCCTCTCCTCGGCACCCCCAACAACCATGTTGGAAAAGGTGACTTATTCCGGGTATGCTTAACTCACAAGCGTTGGGTCAAAAAAGGTAAAGATACCGCAGCCTAACTGTAAACCACAAAACATAGTGTCAACCGCCTCTTTTAAGGGCAAATGTAGAAGAAGAAGCACGCATCCCAAATGTGCCATCTTGATTATTCAAAGTGTTTGCATTTCTGGTGCACGTTCATAGCAAATCATTCCATTTGCTTTCTCAAAACAATACAGTCATGTTCACTTACTTGTATTTGATCTTGGGGTCCTCAGGTGGTAACAGAAATGGCTGTAGGTTGGAAAACAATATGTACTTTGAAGAAGGGTTTCTTTTGGCAGCAAGTAAGGCGTCAGCATCTTTTCTCAAATCTGATGCTCTGTACAGTGGGTTCAGAGAATAATAGTTATGAATCTGATTAAACTGCTCCTCTTGCTTATGCTGTGACAGTAAGGATGCTGCCTCCTTGTGATTCCAAAACTCTGCTATGTCAAAAGCTGTCTGTCCTGAAGCATTCAAGCTGTCTACATCGCACCTGGAATATAACAGCATCAAAAATACTCAACTAAATAAAAATAATTTAACAGCTTAAATTTTGGAAAGAGTCTTGGCTGCAGTGAAGTTACCTGCACATTTAAAAAATAAATAAAGATATTTCTTTGACAAGAATTATTCAGTTCTTCTTCTTTTTCTTAACTTCCTCTAGTGCCATTGCAGGTGTCAAGGGTGATATAAAGTTCTGGTTCTGCTCTTCTAGCCACTCAACCATAGACATGGCATGCTATTGGTCTACCTCACTCTACACCTTCTGCTCTTCTGGTGAATATCTACATGGCAAAGTGGTCAAGCCAGTTGCCTTGCACTCTGAAGGTCGTGGGTTCGTTTCAGGGCTGTGCCATTCAGCTCATGAGTGCAATTTTTACGGAGATCCCTGGGGATTGTAGCTGGAGCTATGGAGTTCATGCTTTGTGCGATACTTTAGGCAGGCGACTACTGATTCTGCAGAGAGATACTGGGCCATATGGGATAAAACCCTGTGCATTGAAGTTGATCCTCTCGACTTTAATTTTAATGACCTTTGCTCCCAGTTTGACCCAGCTCTAAATGGGTACCAAGTAAAGTCATGGGAAGTAAAAGTGGCCAGTGTTTTGCTGACCTTATCACTCTGCCAGTGCCAAGTGGTCTATAAAATATAACCCTAGCATTAAAAGCCCAGTCAGCCCAAAGGTCTAAAAAAAAAGGGTGCTTCGCTTTACTTTAATTAAAGTAAGTAAGTAATGATGTGCAGATCAATTCATCAAACTTTTTTTTTACACTCCTTTCAGGTTTTACTCTCAAAGCTCAAGACTTAAAACTGTCTTTACTGCTCTTATTAACCACTATAAATGCAGTGTAGGTTAGGGATACTACCTTAGCTACTTCACAAGCAGTTATAGCTTTTACCCATCCTGCATTACCTCTGTCAGTCCCACACAGTCCTAGATAATGTCTGAGGGAGTTGAGATTGGCAATACTAAACTCAAAGGTATACTACTTCTAGAGGGGCCAAACATACAAGCCTTACAGAAAACAAATATGTTTTCAGAGTTCTTCAGAGTTGCTCACTTAACATAAGATGTAGAAAAAAAAAAAGACGTAACACGTTGACAGTTTAGTTAGTTGCATTTCCTTTACAGGATTCTGCAGAACCAACCCCAGCATTTTTTTGCTGTTGTGGTTTTTCTAAGCAAATTTTACGTTCAGTAATTAGGCATTGCTTTCTTAAAATATATTACACAAACAAAAATTTGTTATACATCACACAATCAAAAATTAGTTATCTATTAAACAAACGAAAATTTAGTTCATTTCAAACAAACAAAAATTCTTTATATATCAAACAAACACAAAATTTAGCTATATATCAAACATACAAAAATTAGCTATAAATCAAACAAACATTTATTATATACATTTTAAAATCTAAAAACATATACTGTAGCCCTGTAATTAATATCAGTGTTCTTTTGAAAAAAAAAATATTAAAAATGTACCCTTTTTCAATTAGAGTTGAAATCACTGAAGAGTGTCCATTTCTGGCAGCAAACATAAGGGCAGTCCAACCTCTTTCACTTTTCCCATCAATATCAACTACCCCTGAAAATGTATCAAACATACCATATCAATAAAACTGTCTTACTTATCTCTGACATTACATGCCAGTAAAAGTAAAGTGGTAAAGGACCCTTTTCACACCCTAGGGCACTCTGGGCATACGGGGCTAGACCTATACTTTATTGACCAATCAGCACTCTGTGGGTAATGCAGTCAACATCATGCCAGCAAGTGTTATTTCTCAGGACTGTACCTAGCTAAGACTGAGTCAATCTGGGAGCCAAGGTCTCCCCCCTTCCCCCCCTTTTTAAAAAAAAAAAAGTCCAGCTCCATCAGGATCTGAACCACGATTTTCCAATCCACAGGCAAGCGTCTAGCCATTACACCATGGCAACTAAGCATGATCATTATCATCATCATCATCATAAACCACTTCTGCCGTTAAGCAGGAGGAATAATTTGCGATTGAGTGCACGCTGGCTGCACTGACTGGCTTTTATCATGATGTGAAGGCATAGGGTGTCTTTAATGTTGTCGATCCATATTTTCCACGGCTGTCCTCTTGCTCCTGTAGCTGATCTTCTGAGATGTAGTGCTTGTGGTGGCATTTGATCTTGCTGCATTCTAACGAGATGACCAAACCACTTGATAAGCTGTTTCTTGATGAATCTGGTACAAGGTGACGTTTCCACAATTTGTCTGATAGTTTCATTATTCACTCGATCTTAGATGGTTAGGTTAGCTGCTTTTCTCAGGCATCTTGTCTCGCAGAAGGTGATTTTGCATATATGGGCTTTAGATAGTGTCCATGTTTTGCACATTTTGGCTTAATGTTGGAATGAATTTGCTGTTTATATTCTGTCTCTTTACACTCATATTTATGCTTGGATGTCTTAATAATGGTGACAATTAGTATAAAAGTGCACTTGCTTTCTGACATGTGGTTTCTATTTCTCTGTAATTCTACCATTTTCCACACCTGTGTTGACTGTGAACATATCTGATATGCTTTCTTGTGTCTTACTGCACTTTGGCTTGTGTGGTAGATGGCTATGATGTTCTCTATTAACTGTCAAAGTACCCCTGTAATTCTGAAGAACAGACCAAAGTTTGTTTCTATCCACTTTACTGAAAGCCTTTTCCTGATCTACAAACAGAATATTCTGTTGGGTATTATACTCAATGGCTTTCTCACACACTTGCCTCTCAGTGAATAATGCATCTGTGCATCCTCTGCCTTTTCTGAAACTGAATTATGAAGCACTCAACTGTTGTTCAGCTATGGGTCTAACTTTCTGTGCTAGTAGTTTGGCGTACATTTTCCCTACATGCCTCAGTATTGATTCACCTCTGTAAGGTAAGCATGATAAAATAAATTAAACCAAAAACAGTCTGCTAGAGCAGTGTTCCTCAACATCTGTGGCCCCCAAATAAGTGGAAACTGTTTCATGGCCCATTTGACAGCTAACTAAACACAGAAAAACAAATACATATAGCAGTTTATTTTTAAATCAAATTCACAAATTTCAGCCAAAGTCACATCTGCTGCTGCTATGAGGTTATAAAATCTTATATTCCCCTGAATCTTATATTCAGCTGGAGGCTCAATAATAAACATCAATGGCGACTGCACACAAAAAGGTAAGAAAAAGACTCGCATCAACATAGTATGAAGAACCTAGGCACATCACCTACACAGTAAAACTTTTGAGATTATGCATCATTCCTGTGGCAGCTTATGGATGGGAGTCATGGACTCTCACTCAGTCTTTAAAAAAGGAAAAAAATCAAAGCTTTTGAACTGAAATGCATATCAAAAACATGATCAGAATACCCTGGACCAACAAGAAGAAAAATGTTGACATCCTGCACAACCTGAACATCAAGAAAAACTGGCTCATAAACAGCATCCCAAAGGAGTTGGTGGTAACATAAAGTATTTCCAACACATATACTGTCCTTAATATAAGAAAGTATGTCCAACACATATACTGTCCTTAATATAAGAAAGTATGTCCAACACATATACTGTCCTTAATATAAGAAAGTATGTCCAACACATATACTGCCCCTAATATAAGAAAGTATGTCCAACACATTTACTGCCCTTAGTATAAGAAAGTATGTCTAACACATATACTGTCCTTAATATAAGAAAGTATGTCCAACACACATACTGTCCTTAATATAAGAAAGTATGTCCAACACATATACTGTCCGTAATATAAGAAAGTATGTCCAACACATATACTGTCCTTAATATAAGAAAGTATGTCCAACACATATACTGTCCTTAATATAAGAAAGTATGTCCAACACATATACTGTCCTTAATATAAGAAAGTATGTCCAACACATATACTGTCCTTAATATAAGAAAGTATGTCCAACACATATACTGTCCGTAATATAAGAAAGTATGTCCAACACATATACTGTCCTTAATATAAGAAAGTATGTCCAACACATTTACTGCCCTTAATATAAGAAAGTATGTCCAACACATATACTGCCCTTAATATAAGAAAGTATGTCCAACACATTTACTGTCCTTAATATAAGAAAGTATGTCCAACACATATACTGTCCGTAATATAAGAAAGTATGTCCAACACATATACTGTCCTTAATATAAGAAAGAATGTCCAACACATATACTGTCCTTAATATAAGAAAGTATGTCCAACACATATACTGTCCTTAATCTAAGAAAGTATGTCAAACACATATACTGTCCTTAATATAAGAAAGAATGTCCAACACATATACTGTCCTTAATATAAGAAAGTATGTCCAACACATATACTGTCCTTAATATAAGAAAGAATGTCCAACACATATACTGTCCTTAGTATAAGAAAGAATGTCCAACACATATACTGTCCTTAATATAAGAAAGTATGTCCACACATATACTGTCCTTAATCTAAGAAAGTATGTCAAACACATATACTGTCCTTAATCTAAGAAAGTATGTCCAACACATATACTGTCCTTAATCTAAGAAAGTATGTCCAACACATATACTGTCCTTAATCTAAGAAAGTATGTCCAACACATATACTGTCCTTAATCTAAGAAAGTATGTCAAACACATTTACTGCCCTTAGTATAAGAAAGTATGTCCAACACATATACTGTCCTTAATATAAGAAAGTATGTCCTACACATATACTGCCCTTAATATAAGAAAGTATGTCCAACACATATACTGTCCATAATATAAGAAAGTATGTCCAACACATTTACTGCCCTTAGTATAAGAAAGTATGTCCAACACATATACTGCCCTTAATATAAGAAAGTATGTCCAACACATATACTGTCCATAATATAAGAAAGTATGTCCAACACATATACTGTCCTTAATCTAAGAAAGTATGTCCTACACATATACTGCCCTTAATATAAGAAAGTATGTCCAACACATTTACTGCCCTTAGTATAAGAAAGTATGTCCAACACATATACTGCCCTTAATATAAGAAAGTATGTCCAACACATTTACTGTCCTTAATATAAGAAAGTATGTCCAAAATATATACTGCCCCTAATATAAGAAAGTATGTCCAACACATATACTGTCCTTAATATAAGAAAGTATGTCCAACACATATACTGCCCCTAATATAAGAAAGTATGTCCAACACATTTACTGCCCCTAATATAAGAAAGTATGTCCAACACATATACTGTCCCTAATATAAGAAATTATGTCCAACACATATACTGTACTTAATATAAGAAAGTATGTCCAACACATATACTGCCCTTAATAGAAGAAAGTATGTCCAACACATATACTGTCCTTAATATAAGAAAGTATGTCCAACACATATACTGCCCCTAATATAAGAAAGTATGTCCAACACATATACTGTCCTTAATATAAGAAAGTATGTCCAACACATATACTGTCCTTAATATAAGAAAGTATGTCCAACACATATACTGCCCTTAATATAAGAAAGTATGTCCAACACATATACTGTCCTTAATATAAGAAAGTATGTCCAACACATATACTGTCCTTAATATAAGAAAGTATGTTCATCACATATACTGTCCTTAATATGAGACAGTATGTATGTCCAACACATATACTGTCCTTAATATAAGAACCCTACTTCAAAATGTAATAACACAGTGCACAGATGGAATATCCGAGGCTGTAAATACCAGCATCTATGTATCACATACCAAGGCCACAGACAATGTCTCTTCAAAACCTGACGCTAAATGGCAGAAGAGGACTAGAGAAGAAGAAGAATGACCGAAAGGATTTATAGGTGCATAGCTGGTCTACAATATGCCAGATTGTCAAGTAGATATGGCAACAGAATAATTTCTTACCTAGCAGAGTTTTCAATTCATCCAGATCGCCTCGTGCTGCGCAGTCCAAAAACCTTTGTTGAAACTTTTTTATCCCTGACTCACTCCCTAAGTCCACCTGCCCACTCATGGTTCTATTAGGAAAAAGGTAAATACATCTGCTTAGTGTTACTAATAGAATAATGAAAATTATCTTAATGGATTATCCGTCTCTCTCTATCTGTCTTTCTATACCACCCATAGCTCCCCCTCTTTTTTCTCTGCCTCTGTGTGTGTGTGTGAGTGCTACACTAGAATTTAAAAAAATGTTTATATAGTGGCTTAGAGTTAACTTACAGGCTTCACTGGGATATCGCTGGATTTGTTATTTGAATCTCTCCATGATGGTTTATAAGTCAGCCAGTCAGCAGCATGTCCTTCACAGAACCTTGCTCAGATAACAACCCTCCGGAAAACTTCCCGATCAAGCAAGATGTCCCGCATCCGTTACACCCATCGATACATTCATCGGAGATCATCAGCCATATCCTGCACCCATTTTCTCTTTGGCCTTCCTCTTCCCAGAAATATACCCTTCCATTGCTGTTTTCTTTAAACTTTCGTGACGTTTCAAGTGACAAAAATATTTTAATTTTCTGTATTTGATCGTCTATAATAGCCAACCTTCTTCAATATTCATTTCTTGAAGTATGGATACATTTATTCTTTTTTTTTTAAATCCATGATATTCTTAGAACCCGTCTATAATATTTGTATTCAAGAGCATTTGTAAGTAAAAACCTGATATATCGAGCTTAGTAGCATCCCTCGCTTGTGCCATGACATGAAAAAGAGATCACAAATGTAGAGAAACAATTACAATTACAGCCCAGGTGAGCTGTCAAAACACTTGAGAGACATGATAAAAACTATAATTATATAATTATAATTTATAAACCTGATTGAATTCTGAGGGTGTATCTCTGAATTTGTGTCGGCGACAGCTGATCTTGTTTTTTTGCCGTTCCGATTTTCCCAGTTTGTGAGCAAATCTGAGGTCTTGTCACTATAAGTAAATAACAACCGTGCCTGGGCAGGGTGCAGAGATGACAGTTTAAAAGCTTGTCTCCAGAAGTATCTGGAGAAAATCGCTGAACACATACGGGTTGTACATAGCTCTAACACGGGATCACTGCAGCACAACTGAAAAGTTTGTTCAACTACAGTAACCCCTGACTTATCTCCCCTGGTGTAAAGTACAAAGGTCATGTCTGGATCCATGGTGGCCAGATTTTGTTCTAGAACCGGGGCAATCAATATTTATTTAAAGGAAATAAATATAGATTTCATATGTTGTATGTAGACCGTAGTAGTTGTTGGTGTAGTAGTAATGGTATTATCATTGGTGGTGGTGGTGACTGGGTGGGGATTATGATAGTAATAGTAATGGATGGGAAGGGGGAGGGGGAAAAGGAGCGGTGGAAGTATCAGTGGTCGTGTGGGTGACTGGGTGGTGGTAGTGGTAGAAGTAACAGTGGTAGTGGTGGCGGTTAGGGTGACTGGGTGGTGGTAGTAGTAGAAATAGTAGTTAGTGGTGAGGGTGACTGAGTGGTGGTAGTAGTAGAAATAGTAGTGGTGGTGCTGAGGGTGACTGGGTGGTGGTAGTGGTAGAAGTAGCAGTGGTGACGGTGAGGGTGACTGGGTGGTGGTAGTAGTAGAAACAGTAGTGGTGGTGGTGATGAAAATGACTGGCTGGTGGTAGTGGTAGAAGTAGCAGTGGTGGTGGTGAGGGTGACTGGGTGGTGGTAGTGGTAGAAGTAGCAGTGGTGGCGGTGAGGGTGACTGGGTGGTGGTAGTAGTAGAAACAGTAGTGGTGGTGGTGATGAGAATGACTGGCTGGTGGTAGTGGTAGAAGTAGCAGTGGTGGTGGTGAGGGTGACTGGGTGGTGGTAGTGGTAGAAGTAGCAGTGGTGGCGGTGAGGGTGACTGGGTGGTGGTAGTAGTAGAAACAGTTGTGGTGGTGGTGGTGAGGGTGACTGGGTGGTGGCAGTGGTAGAAGTAGCAGTGGTGGCGGTGAGGGTGAGGGTGACTGGGTGGTGGTATTTGAAATAGAAGTGGTGGTGGTGAGTGTGACTGGGTGATGGTAGTGGTAGAAGTAGCAGTGGTGGTGGTGAGGGTGACTGGGTGGTGGTAGTAGTAGAAACAGTAGTGGTGGTGGTGATGAGGATGACTGGCTGGTGGTAGTAGTAGAAATAGTGGTGGCGGTGGTGGTGGTGAGGGTCTCTGGGTGGGAGGGGCGGTGGTGTCTGGGTGGGAGGATGGTGGTAGTAATCTGGCTTTCCTCTTTCGGGCTGCTACGTAAATCTTTGTTTATTATTAATTTAAAGACCATTTGACGCACCTCAGACATGACCATAAATGCTCCGATCTTCTCCTGAGTATATCGCTAAGTGCATTAGTCTAACAACTCTCATTGTATTCTGAATGTTTGACATCACAGAAAGCAGAGTGTCCGACAGGACAAATCATAGTTACTCTGTTCAACTTCATAAGCAGTTATGCTTAAGGCATCATCCCGTAGATCTACCACAGAAGAGGCAGCAAAGGTAGGGGCAGTAGATTTTTTTAAAAACCAATATTATACTGTTGAACACCTACAGGTTTCAAGTGAAAGATATTGAATTTTGCATCAACGCGATTTTTTAAATAATTTATGTTTTTATAATTGACCCTGGCTCCTAGCCCAAATTAAATACCGGGGAAAACATGGGAAATAAAGGCGGCCTGATGGTATCGATCGCATAATCAAAAGAACGATAGTCTACACAAATAAGAATCTGGCACTTTATTCCCGATGCGACTTAGACATGACAAATGATTAAAATGCTTTCTGTGCATTTGTTGAAAAAAATTAGGATATTACTAATTACTAACTTACTCCTAAGACTTAATCATCACAGAGATTGTTTATGGATTCAAGTTACTCACTGTCTCGAAGAGTCAGCTAGAGAAACTGGAGCTCATACAAAATGAAGCTATGCGGGTGATCCTGTGATGTACAAGAGATACATCGATTGTGTCGCCGACAGCTGATCTCGACTTGCAGCGATTTTTTTTTTCCGTTCCGATTTTCCCAACTTGAGAGCAAATCTGAAGTCTTGCCACTATAAGTCAATAACAACCGTGCTTGGGCAGGGTACAAAGCGGACAGTTTAAAAGCTTGCCACCAGAAGTATCTGGAAAGGAATGCTGGACACGTACGGGCTGTACATAGCTGTAAGACAGGATCACTGGAGCACAACAATATTCTTATAATTTGTAATCAGCAATGACAGAACAAATTCCCAGTTGAATAACTCCAGTTCGCGCAATACATCTTCATACTGCAGACAATATGATAATGTGTCGCGACACAGTTTTAGGAGCTCTGCTTTTAGGTTTAAAATCCTGACCCATATAGGACTTCAAGTTACACCAACCTCGTGTACCGTTACGAGTGCTTATAAATTTTTGTTCTAAAAAGATGAGGGGGGGGGGGGGGGTTGAGTAGGGTACCTGTGAGTTACCCTGTTGGTCTGCCACACAGGACGAGACTACCGGAGTCTCAAGGGGTGGGGATAGTATTCCCTACCAGGAACTACAGGTTCAAGATCTGGAGGACTCGTGCATATCTCAAGATAAGCTCAGCTCTGAAGCACCCTTTGCACCACACGATCTTCAAGAAAAAGGGCAATAGGCTTAAAAGGGGCTAATCATGGCTGGGTAGGGCAGAGGATGACATAATGCAGGTTTGAAGCCTTACAGATATCCATCCAGGTGAGGAATGGATGCCAGCGTCTAAAGCGCATAATCTCACATGCTCTTGTGTCGTGATGCTCGATAGGAGTTGTCGGGAACAGAATCCAGCTGCTGTCAATGCCGAGGTATGTGCGCTTATCAGTGCTAGTCATATGAGACGTAGTGATCTTCACAGACGGGTCTGTTATACGAGGACATAAGAGTGCATGGGCATTTACAGCTCGCTCCTCAGGCATAAGAATTCAAGAAGCCAGCGGTGCCTTCTCCATGACTGCCAGCAGCATGACGATGGAGTTAATGGCTGTGACACAAGCTTTTATGTGGCTAGAATCACAGGACTGTTCCCGCGCGTGTGTGCTGAGTGACTCTTTGAGCATGATCCGGCGGGTCGAGGCAGGCTGGTTACACAGACAGTGGTTTGAGTCATTGCAAAACTTTCCTGTGTGTGCAGTTACCTTTAAATTCGTCCCAGGGTACGCAGGCGTTGATGGTAATGAAAGAGCTGATAGACTGGCAGGTGCTTCATTAATTTAAGATGACCGGCCCTTGGATCACGCAGACATTGTCATTGCCCTTAGAGAGACAGGACGTTCTAAGGATTTTGGAAGCAACGTGTCCACATCACTGCTAAGAATACGAGAATTTGGAGTAAAGATCGGCACAGCCGAGCATGAGAAGCACACAGGACGCACAAGAAGTCTTGTTAACCAACATAGGACTGGCAATATTAGCCGCGCGACGCTGATGAATATGTTGAGAGGGGAATCTGAGCGCCTATGGATGTGTCCTGAGTGCTGTGAAGGTAATCTAACTCACAACTAAAATATTTAATCTTTTCGATAGCGACCTGGAATGGGAAAAAAGTTTCACAGACATCAACGTCTTACTTTTATTATTCTTATTTCCGGAGTCTCGAAATCAAAACGAACTGTTCACAAAATCATACTTCAGTTTATTTTGCACATGAAAAGAATGATTTAGTCCAAAACCAGGAATAGCTAACATGCAACCTAACTACGAACATACAAAGTAATGAATATAACGCATATGTTTACATTTATAGAAACGTCAAACTGGCCTCGCAAAATTGCTGAATAATCGTGACGAGTTTGATGTAGGTCGTAGTACACACCTGCTATAAAATAATCATTAGCCAACTCGCGAGACCTCTGTCGAGTTCACGAAACTGAATACCACCGTGTTGACGAATCTCAGTAGACTTTGCCGGTTTAATTCACAGCCTTTTCGTTTAACTAGAGAGTTTGTCAAGTTCACCATGGCTAATGTTCGCGATTTAGTTAACCAGAAAATTGATAGCAATAAACTGATGGTGTTTTCGAAAAGCACTTGCCCATACTGCATCAAGGCGAAGCAGACGCTGTCAAAGTATGTTGGAGACGACAACGCCGTCAGCCCTGATGATTATGAAGTCTTGGAGATTGACGGCTTACCCAATTGTTCAGAAATTCAAGATTATTTGCTGCAAATAACTGGAGCTAGATCGGTAAGGATTACTTTATTATGATCAATCTTATACGTTTACTATATAAATATTATTAGGTTAATTTAATGTTATTTATTATTATTATTTATTTATGATGTAATGATGTTATGAAACAAGCAGCCAAATTTAATAGTTAACGGAAACTTATATTTTTACCAATTTATATTCCATTGCCTGTTACTATCAGGTTTAGATAATGACTCATTAAATAATACGCTGAGCCATGTTACTAGACAAATTCCAGCTGTAGTTTGTTCAGCGTGTAATTAAAAAAAAAGCTTTTTAATGACAAATACTGCAGTAGGTTCTAAATCATTCTAAGCAGAGCTTTTCCCTTTAAAAAAAGTATAGGCACCAACCAGAGTGTACTATTACTATTATGGTAGCACTGAAAAAGTGATGCCCAGAACAAAGTGCTGGTGCTAGGTATCATTGCATACCGCCCAAAAATAGCCCCGAATCTAAAACTTGTTACTAGATTAGTTGAAAAAACATAGTTGTCATGCTAAATGGCCCATTGGGCATGTGGTGTTAGACCCATTTTTATATAGACCACTTTTAGCCCCCTTGGGCGATGTGGTCAACATCTTGCTGTTGGTTATTTCCTGGACATTTTTAAATGGAGCTAAAGGCAGTCACTGCTGCCTTTTGCTGGCTTGAGAATTAGCTACACACACATGCCGTGATTTTAACTGACTCACAGAGCATGTTGAGGAAGTTGGAGACAGGCATGAACCGTGCAGAGTGGCAAGCATCACTTCAAAGGTCCCAGGAAGTTAGCATCCTTTGGATATTTTCACAAGACCTTTGGACTGGTAGACAGACATCTAGCCACTGCTCTACTCTGTTACCAATACAAATGTAAATGCTTTTTATTAATGTATATACCATAAAATGCAGAGTCTTACTTATTAGACAGATCTAGACATTAGTATAGTCCCACAGATGGGGTGTAAAGAGTTCAGTTTTCACATATTCTATGCCACAATAAAAAATGATATTTATAGTTCCCTTCGTTCGTCCCCTTTCCATTCCAGTCAATCACCAGAAAAAAATGTCAGAATTTTGTTATCACCAATATTGTTAATTTTTATTTGCCTTGTTCTCGTTTTATTAGGTCAGCTAACATCAGTATTGTTGATAAATAGATCAGTTTGAATAGGCCTCTACAGTTTACCCCCGCAAACATTTTACTGTTTTGGGGCTATGTTGGTCTATACTGAAAACAGTTTATTGTCTATCCTGTACATGATTTTTTAAACCAACCCAAGAATTTTAGAGCATTGCCCTGGTGCAGCGGCTAGACGCTTATCTGCGGTTCCAGAGGTCATGGATTGGAATCTAAATGGAGCCAGACTTTTCCAGAAAATGATCTTCCAGATTAACCACATCACCCACCTTGTGCCAATTGGTCTCTAAATTGTACATCTAACTCTATATAGCCAATAAGCTCAAAGGCATAGAAAAGGGTCCTTTACTTACTAAACCCAGGATTTGTTGCCCGTTTGCGGTTTTATTATACAGTTTTACATTCAGTAGTTTGTTGTTGTTACTAAATGGTCGGCACACCATGCCATTGTTGAAATCAGTGCCAAGCTTTTTGCTGCCATAATAATGTCTGCAGCTTAATCAAACCAGGTATTTTGGAATCATAAACCACGTTTGCAATCCCTAAGCCACAGGCACTGACATCAGGCTGTGTGCTATGATGTTCACGAAACCAAATCCCCTGTGTGGGTTCCAGGACCCAGTCGTGGGGAAACCAAGAACAGACCCACTGCCTCCCCAATAAGCATGTCGTAAGAGTCCACTAACTGGGAGCTTTCTTTGAAGTCTGAGTGCATCTGCCTGAGAAACAAGGAACCAGCAATCTGCATACAAAGTCAGATCTGTAAAATGGATGGGCACACAACACTCAGGTTCTGGAACAAGACTAATGTTTAGAGGGGGAGGAACAACCACAACTTTCTGCCAGTGAACATGAACAAGAAGAAGAAACAAAAATACTTGGTCAACGTCCAGAGAATTCCAAAGCAGTTTGGCTTATTAGTGTAGCATTGTACGAAAATGTGCTGCCAGCTAAGGGGTTAGAAAATAGAGGAAGGACACACGTTGTTTTATGTGCAATGAAATGTTTTGAATTACCTGTTGTTATTTTTCTTATATCAAATATGTTTGAACTTTTGCAGGTGCCTAGAGTGTTTATCAACCAAAAGTTTGTTGGTGGCTGCGATGATGTAGTAGCTCTGGACAAGAGTGGAAAGCTGAAAGCCTTACTGCAATAGATCTTCAGCTGTTCTTAATCATTTAAATAATTATTTATTTAGATACTTTGTGTTTCTCTTTAAAAAAAAACAATTTAAGAAATAATTAAATTTTGCCTTTAAATTCGAGCGTAAACAGTAAACTATTAATGTTGTTTGTCTCAAGAAAGTAAATTGAGTGACCAGACAGAATGTGACAAGTTAATTCTTTCTGCTGTATGTAATGTATGACTGGCTCTTGCCTGTCATCCACAAATATAGGTCTTCTGGCCTTAAGGAGAAAATCCATGCAGCAAGGGAACTAGCAAGAAACCAAGATTGTTTCCAGCATCCGTGTTAGGAATGATATTGTGTTAAAGACTTTAAACGTGGTGACGAGGTCTGTTGAATATTCTTCTCTGACTTAAAGAGTTAATGTACACCTTTTAGTTTTGTTTTTGAAGGGTAAATGATTATTATGCAAACATTTGTATCAACAACATTGCATCTGATGCTCATTATATATGAGTTTGTTCATCTTACTGTGCAGGTCATTTGTTTTGAATGTGGTCACCTTGACTTTGTATGAAATCTCAGTAATTGGTATTTCCTCTTCATGTCCTATTGCAGGTTCAGATACTCATAAATGTTTATGATATTTTGGCTTTAAACCACAACACAAGCTTTACTATTTTCATATATGTAGTACTTTACACTTTTTATGTTACGCATTTTCACAGTAATGCTTCATAAGTGGTAAAAAAAACCAAGTAATATAGGAATAAATAGGATTTACATAAAGTTAGTTAAGTATACATTTGCATTTGTTAAGGAAAAATGTTTCTCTAAACTGTATTCACATAAGACCTGTTTGCTTTATACTGTTATGAGGCATCACACACAAATTCTTTGAGCATAGAAATATTTCTGACATTATTCACACCTCATTGCTGAAGTTTTCAGATCAGCCATAACATTGTAGGTCTATTAGTATGTCCCCATTTTCACACACAAATTGAATAGTAAAGTGAAACACCAAATATAAACATTTATTGGCAAAAGTGATTAATGCAACTCTGCAATAAAAGAACACAGTTTTAATTGGAACATCCTTGAAGTTCTTTATTATTTTGCTATATGTATGTCAATGAAATATATAAAGAGATTATGGATGTCCAAAAGAAACCATAAAATAAACGTTTATTTGAGAGACCACATCTGATGGACTGGATTTCATCCATGATATTGAACTGACTGCACATAATAGAATTTGTAAAGGTAGTCAGGAGATGTGAACCAGTGTCATTGCACATGGTTTTAAGCCATAAGTCCTCTGCTACCAGTATAGATAGCTGACAAGAAACTGTCTGCCTGTGTCGTACACAACTCCATAGCTACAGCAACGTTCCTCCATTTAACCCAGAGTGTTAACTCTGGTACCCATTACCTAGAGGCTGGTGGAACCCAGGGAACCACCCGGTTTTGAACACCAGCCATAAGCTGAAGTGATTTGCATCTGGATTTGAAAGTGAATCTCATATCAACTGCGCTAACGCAGCCCACTGAAAATTAAATAGAATGAATGAAGGAATAGACTGTGAGCCCTGTGTGACATATAATGGCACAAAAGGACAGTGAATGCATGAATATCAGTGTTTGTGGTAATTATTTCTCAACCTAAAAAGTGTGAAGGTGCCTTTTGGTTACAGAGGTATTTCGGGCATATGATGCTAGACCTATAGACTAGTTGTCTCTCAAGGGGTGATGTCATCGACGTTACAATATCTGTTGAATTAAGAATTGACATCGCAGCATTCGGGACACTCCCATAAGCGCTCTGTCCCCATCTTCAGTAGCAAGCAAAGAGTTAAAATTCCTGTGATACCAGTAACAGTCTGATTGTCATCCCGCCCCTCCCCCGAGTGTTGAGCGTCGTCTAGATCCCCTTGTAACTCTTCGCAGTATCATTTTCTTCAGACCGTAATGATATATCTGTTCCTCGGCACTGTTCACTGGCTCCCAAAGGGTCCTCACAACATCCAGCTTGTCATATATCAGTTCACCACCAAGTTGTGCAGAACCATCCAGTCTATCCACCTGCTCATTTCCCAACACACCGGGGAAACCTGGAGAAAATATCCAAAGGATGCTAACTGCCTGGGACCTCTGAAGTGATGCTTGCCACTCTGCATGGATCATACCTGTCTCCACCTTTCTCAGCATGCTCTGTGAGTCAGTTACAATGACGACAATGTGAGTACAGCTGGTTCTCAAGCCAACAGAAGGCAGCAGTGACTGCCTCCACCTCCACTCTCAAACTAGATGTTGTGATATCATATGCCAGGCTTTGTTGTGCCAAGCGATGTCCATTCACCTTCACTATGAACCGTCATGAGCTTCTTCTGCCTCTCACCACAGAGCCATCTGTATATACAATCACATCACTTGGGTGGGAATTGTCATGAATCATTTGTTGAACTTCTGATTTTGCAGCACCAGCTGGCCAGTCCCTGCACTCACTTCCCAAAGTGATTAGAACCCTACAATATCTTTTACTTCCAAAATCAAAGTCAAACTTTACGGGTCCCTGACGGAATTACAAAAGACAGTGAAGTTCAAACTAGAGACAACATTGCAGAAATAGTTTATTTCAAATGAATGAACGAAAGAAGAAGCAGAAGAAGAGAAACTTCCAAAGTATATGTTGGTACCTTCTTCTTCTTCTTCTGCGTTCGATATCAGTCATGCTAAACATTGTGTCCCGTCTGGGTCACAAATAGGATTGTGCGTTTAAGGTCGCCACCGGTCCCCCAAAGCTTCTCTTGCAATGTGGCTCCTTTGGGCCAGATCCACAGTCTTTGCTGGGAGAGGTAAGGGCAGTACTGCAGTATGTGTTCAGGGGTTTGTCTTTCTGCTCCACAATCACAGGCAGCAGATTCTTTTATGCCTATCCTGTACAAGTGTGCTCGAAGACCACAGTGTCCAGTCCGAAGTCTAAGAATTGATGTTTGTTCTTTCCTGTTGAGTTTGTTTATGCTGTCACTCTCTGGTCTGTAATCTCCATTCTGCCTTCTCCACTCCCGCTTGAAAGACTGCTTTAGCGCTGTTTTGGTTTCCTTGTAGCTGTGTGGTGGATGAGGTTGTGGAAGATTACTCCCAGCTTTTGCCAACTCATCTGCTCTCTCATTTCCTTGAATACCACAGTGGGCTGGTATCCACTGCAAGACCAGTTCTGCTTCCTTGGAGAGTAAGCCAATGTTGGTCCTTAGATCAGCAATTATTTTGTCTTGTTTTTTGCTGGATAGTGCTTGGAGAACAGACAATGAGTCGCTAAGTATAACAATTTGGTGCCCTCTGTGTTCTTGAGTGATGAGGTGTTGGACTGCAGAGAGGAGGGCAGTTGCCTCAGCTCTGAAGTTAGTGCAGATGTCACCTGCTGGTAGAGAGAGAGTTTCTGCTCTACTGCTAGGGGGTTTAATGTAAATTCCACAACCCCCCTTTCTGACTGCATCTGTAGCAGAGCCGTCGGTGAAAACCTGAGTCCAAGTGGTGTTTGGATACTTCTCATCAAGCATAGCAAGAGCCAGGGTTCTCTGTTGTGTCTCCGTCTGGGCATCTTTTGAAGTGATTCCTGGTACCTTTAGGACTACATTTGCTTTCTCTGGCTTGCTTGTCCATGGTTCTGGCCTAAGTCTTTCGCACAGTGCAACATCTCTTTCAAGCAGATCTTGGTGCTGTCTGTATAGTTCTCTAGCGAGGTGGTTGGGGCTCTGACGCTTTAGTCTGTTTTTTGTTCTCTCTTGAAATTTAAAATGCAGTGGGTGACTTTGAAGTCTTTTTAATTTCTCATACTGTAAAAGAGTTTTGTATTGTCCTGTTGGTACCAAATGGCAGGGGTACTGGGACATGGGCTCTTTTTAAAACTAATTAATAACATCAACATAGATAAGATGTCATAGAAGAGCTGCTGGAGTAAAAGTAAGAGGTAACATTAAAAATTTAGAAATTAGAAGACTAGTCCAATACCAGTCATACAGTTTAATAAAGAGCAACATATGAGATTGACCATCTGATGAGAACCTTGGTACCAACTGCCGCAAAGAGCCACCCTGAAGAAACATAACGGGCACAGAACAAGGGGAAGACTTTGCAGGACATGGAATGATGGCTTCAAGAAGAGTATTAAAGAAATGATGACCAGTTTATACAGTGTACTGATAAGAACATGAAGAAGTTTCTCGTATCTCCCCCAACACTCCAGTGAAGCAAATAGGAGAAGAGAATAACAGCAACCTAAGAATCAAGATCAATTATTTAAAAAATTCTGCCACATTGTTGATTCCAACCCAAGACCTTCCAGGCAGCAGACAAGTGTCTAGCCGCAACATCACCATAGCTTCCATTTCTATGTTGGCCTTTTTCAGATGGTAGTTTTATATTGTCCTGTAAGGAGACAAATGGTTTTATACTATGCAATGAGACAAATGGTTTTTCTCAGTGCATGGTACTGTAGAGTCCCAAGTTTTTTTCCTCATTACTCATTATATATGCTATATAGAGGTAGTTTCCAGGGCTGTACCGAATATTCCCTTCGGGGCCGAATAGTGGACCTATTGACTATTCGGTATTTGGCCAAATATTTGCGGTCGGGCCGAATACGAATAATAGTTACCTTACACGCGCTTCTGCATACACGGCCTTGAAGCTGACAACATGGAACAATTTTTTTTTTTTATTTGGAAAGCTAATGCAGCTTTCTTTCATGCATTAACTCCCCGTGTGGGTTTCCTGGGCCCTACTATGGGACAAACAAGAATAGACCCACTGCCTACCCAAAAGCATGTCGTAAGAGTCGACTAATTAGGAGCTTCCTTTGAAGTCTGAGTGCATCTGCCTCAGAGGCAAGGAACCAACAGTCTGCATTCAGATCTGTTAAACGGATGCACACGCAACACTCAGGTTCCGGAACAGGACTGCAGTCTTGAAGTGGACAAACAACCAAAACTTTCCACCGGAGTTTACAGCTGGTGAACGTGAAGAAG